CAAATATTAAATGAATTACACCCTTTTACAAATTAGTAAAGTATAGGATTTATCGCATAACTTATTGGAACAAGGGGGGTAAAAAGTGACCCCCATTTCTTTTAATTAGGTCAACAACCTCATAAACTCCATTATATTATTGTAAATGATAGATTTCTGAACAAATAAAGCCTATAACTGATTAGATAGCTCAAATAATGCATGAATTACAACAGAATTTCTATCAGTAAAATATAGGATTTATCGGATAACTTATTGGAACAAGGGACAAAAAAGTTACCCCCATTTCTTTTAATTAGGTCAACAACCTCATAAACTCCATTATATTATTGTAAATGATAGATTTCTGAACAAATAAAGCCTATAACTGATTAGATAGCTCAAATAATGAATGATTTACAACAAAATTTCTATCAGTAAAATATAGGATTTATCGAATAACTTATTGGAACAAGGGACTAAAAGGTTACCCCCATTTCTTTTAATTAGGCCAACAACCTCATATACTCCATTGTATTATTGTAAATGATACATTTCTGACAAATAAAGCCTATAACTGATTAGAGAGCTTAGATTAGATTAGATTATATAGATAGATAGATATTAGATTAGATAGATTTTAATGTTGTAATTCATTCATTATATGAGCTATCTGATCAGTTATAGGGGTTATTTGTTCAGAAATGTATTATCTACAATATCATATGTCCCCAGATTGCTCCAATAATGAATAATATTCATGTCTTCAATAATTTTAATTTTGATGCATTTATTTCAAAATTTAGGCATCTTATGAGGAACCCTTACTACATAGACATCTTAAGTGGGTCTTTTTCTCTTCGTTATAAACTACTGAATATATCTGGAAGCAAATATATTGAATATTGAAGTAATAATGTCATCTTAAAAGAAGTCTCCTTTTAGGTTTTGAATTCTTGACTTGATCGATTTGATTTTTGTTTGTTTGTTTGTTTGATTTTGTTTAACGTCCTATTAACAGCTAAGGTCATTTAAGGACGGCCTCCCCTGTGTGCAAGATGCATGCGTGTAGTGTATGTGTGTGTATTTTGGGAGGCTGCGATATGTTCGTGTTTGTCTTCTTGTGATAGCGCGGAACTGATGCCGACTTTATAGTGCTACCTCACTGAAACATACTGCCGAAGACACCCAGCAGGACGCCCCACCCGGTCACATTATACTGACAACGGGCGAACCAGTCGTCCCACTCCTAATTTGCTGAGCGTTAAGCAGGAGTAGAAACTACCATTTTTAAAGACTTTGGTATGTCTCGGCCAGGGGACAGAACCCAAAGCCTTCCTCACAGGGGCGAACGCTCAACAAATGGCCAAAAGTGAGGCATTGTCAAGGGAGACATTAGGAAGAAGAAAGTTGTTTAGAAACGAGAGAAGAGATAAGGTCCCAAATTTAGTCGCCTCTTACGATCATCGATTTGAACTCGTTTCTTTTAATAATTTCTGGATATAACCTTCATTTTTTACTTCAAAATGATCAGTGAGATATAACAAACATTATTTGAGAACTAGCTGAGCACTTTCTCAGATATTTTTTTTCATCCCTGAACTCATCATTATGATGTTAAATTGATATTTGAGGCAGTCACTCATTTTGCCAACCAACATATCCACTAGCCCTATCTTTTTTATTAATTCAGCTAGATACCTGCAAATGGTCTTATTTTATTTGTTATTGCATGCATAACATATATATGTAAAGTTATCAAGAATAATGACAAAAAAAAACATCGTGTAATGACAAAAGATAATAATAATTTGAGGTAGTCACCAATTTGCCAATTGAAATCTTCCCCTAGCCCTATCTTGGCACTTTTCTTGAGAACTATAATTCTTTTTGTTTTTTGTGATAATTTTCATTAGTATCGAATAACGAGTAGTTCGTGATGATTTTCAGCACTTGTTTTGTATTCCTAAGTGCATTATTTTTTTGAAATTAAGGCCTTAAAAATTAGCTCCCCCCCCCTCCCCGCGATGTTTTTTTCGAAATTTATTCAAATTTAGTAATTTTCGTATCAGAAATGTGTATTAAATTGCAATGTGACTTCATAAAGCAGATAAATGACAAAAATACACGTATAACGACAAGTCGAAGCCTAACCCTATAATTTGAGGTAGTCACCAAAATCCAACAGGTATATGCCCCTAGCACTATATTGGTACTTTTCTTGATAACTTTACATTTTTTTTTAATTAGTTGATAATGACGGACCAAAACGATGATTTTAAGCGTTTTAGTGTGTTCCTACGTATTTTTCCCCCTTAATTTAATACATATCTTGTCATGATTATGGAAATCCCTTCAAAAAATATTTTTTCTTATTAGTTTGCTAATTGGAAAAAAATAAAAAATCTTGCATAATCAAGGATATATAATTTAGGTTAATTACTAAAAATTAAGTCAATTAAGCCGTCAAAATGGTTCAGAATTCCCCCAAAAAATAATTTTGACCGAAGAACAGCAATATTCAAACGATAGCGATAAAAAGCGTTAAACTATCAAAATTCGGTCAAATCTTGTTTAAATATGATTTTATTTTTTTATTTTTAGGGGTAAAAACTACAAAAATTAGAGGTAGTCACGCTAAATTTGAGGTAGTCACGACTTTATTTGAGGTAGTCACGATTTTGCCAACAAATTTGAGGTAGTCAGCCAAAAATGAGTGACTACCTCAAACCAAATTTGAGGTAGTCACTTAGAATCTAAGTTTACTCAGGTGTATTTCTAGTCTTTGTTCATTTAGTTAGTTTACCATGTTTTTGTTATTTTTTAGGTTTATTTTGTTATTCAGTCTATAATTTCCTGGATGAATTACCACCAGGTGGTTAATTATTAAGTTTGCACATGTTTATTTATGCTGTACATTCTTCCCAATTTGCCCAAAGTCATTACTCTTATTTTGTTATATAATTATACTCTTTTCTCTAAATAATAGCTGGTGTCTTGTTTTTTTTTTTTACAAAAAGTCCAAAATTAAGGGGGTATAGGTCTTAAATTCTGTTATCTCCCCAAATCTTTAGACAACATGGCATTTGTTACTATTTCCCAGTAGTACAGTACCTGTATTTAAATAAAACTCAAAACCATAAATCTTATTATAATATTTATTAAGATATTTAAGTTTACATTTTGAAATTGATTCAATTTTCCTGTCTTTTCTTGCATGAACCTCCATCTTCAGTACCAGTAGAAGACTTGACCTAGCAGTCCAAGCCTCGGAGCCAGTCACTTCCCATTTTGGTTTCATACCCTACGGTCCTGACTGTTTCCAAAAATGGTAAATTTGAAAAGTATGTGGGATCCTATAGGGACCATGGAACCAAATCAAAAATAGATTGTGGGGTTTTCCCTTTTGGGCAGATTAAATTAATAGGAAGGTGAATGCATCGGGGCCTGCTGGTTGGATATTTAGGTGGCAGAAGTTGAAAAAGTTTTATGGGTGGGTGGGTAGATGTAATATGCATAAAAAAAGGTTCAAGTCTGCTTTTGTCTGGGTGAGTTTATTAAGTATAATTTGTTGTAAATTTTGGTCGAATTTTGGTGCCGAATTCAATACAAGATGGCGGCCCCCATATAAAAAAAATGGCAGAATTTTTAAATATTTTATTTACAGTTGTGTGAGATGATATTCTTCAAAATGAGGGCAGGTAAACCAGTGTGGATAACCCCATTTAACCAGGACAGTGGTAAACAATAACACTATCGTCTATGGAACATCATTTGGTTCTCCGGTCCCTAAAGCTGTGCTTGACGTCTGACATTTGGACTTCAAAAATAACCGCAAGGAAGCAAATTATACATTTTACATGTACTATGATGAGAGTCTTGTTTTCTTCCACCTCCATATTTACTTGGCTAACAGAAATGCAATACTCATTTGTTAGCTTTGATATGTTTTATTTCACCTTAAATACCTCCTCCATCAAGAGCCAGGGTCAAAGTCAGAGATCCACTTTGTCTTTGACCTTTGGACACAAATTACCTTGACCTTTAACCCAGTGACCCTGATCTTTGGTCAGTTGACTTAATCCTAATTACGACCAACTTTGCTTCATAATATCATAACAAATTGTTCATCAGTGAAAAAAATATAAAACTTGACCTTGAACCTTTGGTCCCGTAACCTGGACCTTTAGTCAGTTGACTCCGTGTTAAGTTCTGGACAACTTTGCTTCATAATAACATAAAAATAATGTTCATCAGTAAAAAAAATACAATATTTGACCTTGACCATAAGTCAGTCGACTCTTTGTTAAATTCCGACCAACTTTGCTTCATAATGTCATAACAAAATGTTCATCAGGTAAAAGATACAAACTTTGACCTTTGGTCAATTGACTCCTTGTTCAATTCTGAGTAACATTGCCTCAAAGCATCATAACGTAGTGTTCACCAGTGTAAAGATACAAAATTTAACCTTGGCCTTTGACCAAATGACCTTGGTTCAGTTGACTCCTTGTTTAACTCAGACCAACATTGCTTCATAGTGTCATAACAATATGTTCATTAGTGTAATAATACTTAATTTGACCTCGACCATTGATCCAGTGACCTTGACCATAAGTCAGTTGACTCTGTGTTAAATTCCGACCAACTTTGCTTCATAATGTCATAACAAAATGTCCATCAGAGAAAAGATACAAAATTTGACCTTGACCTTTACCTAGTTACCTTGACCTTTGGTCAATTGACTCCTTGTTTAATTCTGACCAACATTGCTTCATAGTGTCATAACAAGTGAACAGATGCAAAAAATGACCTTGACCTTGACTTTTTACCTCATTGTGTTTTTTTGTGAACTGGACATCTTGAACAAGTTTCATGTAAATCGGTCAATTAATACCAAAGTTATCAGTCAGGAACAAAATATGTAGACGGACAGACAGATCGACAGACAGACCGACAGAGTTATTACTATAGGGCACCCGTATCTCCGATACGGGGCCCTAAATATTTAGACACCACCACTGAACAGCACTCATAATAACAATTATACAACAATAATGTTCCGATACTATATTGCATAATTTTAATGGAAACAAAATCAACGTTACAAGACGATAAACTACACCTTAAAAATGGCTCACTGGAAAGAAAACATAAATCTGTTACAATGTTAACAGTATATATTGTTATTGTGTGATTTAACATTGAAATAGCCAAAATCATATGAAGATGTGTGCGTATGGAGACACAAACGAACGAGTATCGAAGTGTACATGAATGATTACATCGATAACGACTCATCGACAAAGAAGAGGTTATAAATTCCTAAATCTGCAGGTGACTTCTGCAAAAATATATGCTGTCTATAGCACATTTAATTACACTGTAACAGTGAATGGTACACACTGGTAGTCCTACAAACATTACTGTTGTCAAACTTGCGAAAGGTGACAGGATAACCCGTTCGAAATCCTGTTCACTGGGGTACGAAATCCTCCCATGTGTTACATAACACGTTGACAAACACATTTGGGCTTAAAATTTTATTAACTGCACATTGTGCCTGCGACAGTCAGGGTCCATACCTCGAGTAGGTCCACTTTGTAAGATATTTCTTAAATGTGACAAATGTCTTTTCTACCACAACACGACGACAAATCTCCATGCGCACATATTATATACAGTTACCACATCAAACACATATAGTTCTAAAGCACACCAAGTGCTGGATCCGGGCCATCCCTGCGCGAGGCATTCCCTGGACCGGCTCTCTCTCTAAAGGCTCACATTTCCGAACCTCGAATCCTGACTCTCAACTCTAGACTCTGAACTCCGGACTTCTTCTTAAATCTTCCCCAAGTACTTTCATGAATCTGTACAACGTTAACTCTTCATAATACCGTACCACCCCTTGTACATATATAATTAGGCACGTGCGACAATTTCATTTAACTTTCCCTTACCACAACAGAAATGCTAGATGTACCATATGGCAATGACAGTTACCCCTATCTGGTTTCGGGAGTTCACACTTTCGTTCCTATCTCTATGTCATTCATGCCGAATCTGGTCGTAACTAGATGTATAGCCCAATAACACTTTCCACTATTAAACAGACTCCCTGTAAGTCACTGCACGGTGTTACCCAAAACATAAGATTTGACCTCAAACGTACTTTGATCAAAGTGATGCTCTCTATTGATACACACTATCTTAAAAGTCATAAGATGGTTCCAATCTGCATCATTAATTGCCTAATTTACATTCCGTTTTGTTATAATATTTATAAGGAAACAACTGAAAAACGTGCTTTTCTAGTCACTTATCACCATGCTGTTAATATTTATGTCTTTGTAACAATGTTATAACATCCGTGTTGTTATCAATTCTTTTGAATTGAAAAAAACCCCAAAAAAACAGAGGCATAGAAAAACAACCGACTCTGTCGGGGCCCCATATTTGTTGCCACTTACAAAATATAGTTGGACATAGCAGGTCCTTTCTTTTCCAGAATCTGCAGGGGTAGATGATTTCGGGTTAAATTCTTCTGCTATCAACATTGTATAACGTATTACAGTGAAATCTTTGCCCCGGTTCTCTGGAACTTTGATCTTCTAGCTTGCGCTACATCAACCACATTTAGTGAACGGGTTATGGAGAAGAACAAACAGGCTCGGTTGCGCTTCCCCACACTTCTGCAATGTACAACAGAAAACTGACATATGTTGTCCAAGTAATTTCAAATATTTTGTTGATATATTATTTCTACAAGATCAACGTCACCAAGATAACGAATTGGAATTAATCGGATATTTTCATAGTTTTCAAAGTATCAACTCCATGTGTTCCAAATAATATCGATCGACTTAAGTTTTTAGAAATAGGAATACATTTATGCAAATATTAAAATGTATTTGTGATAACAGGGGAAAAAACCCCCATAGTTTTAGTTTTTCATTTGATTTTATGTATCGCGACAATAATGTGTACAGTATCTAACAGTACTGGTCATTTCTTTGTTATGCATATAAAAAGGATGAAAAAGGGATTTTACTGAACAGCTAACATAAATGAGGCCATCTGACATGATAGCGTGATATGATGATGATTTTTTGTTTGTTTGATTTTGTTAAACGTCCTATTAACAGCTAATGTCATTTAAGGACGGCCTCCCCTGTGTGCAAGATGCATGCGTGTAGTGTATGTGTGTGTATTTTGGGAGGCTGCGATATGTTTGTGTTTGTCTCCTTGTGTTGGCAAGGAACTGATGCCGACTTTATAGTGCTACCTCACTGAAACATACTGCCGAAGACACCAAGCAGGACGCCCCACCCGGTCACATTATACTGACAACGGGCGAACCAGTCGATGATAAAAATGGGAACAGTCGTAAACTAATCTCTTTAATAAATTAAAACATCGTTGCGGTTATATGTATAACGATAAATGCTAAGCGATCTCTACACTATACCATGTATATACATTCAAGCAACGGTACAGATTACATAATTGCAAGTCCGCTTTATGCAAACTGGTAGTGTTTGCCCGTAGTCTGGCCTCATTAGTTTTTAGAAAGAAACTTCTAGATCCACGAGTCACAGCGTAACGATATTTGCACGAGCCCCGCATGTCATTAATGTTGAAATATCATTATTACATTGTAAACGGACAAAAAACATTAACCTAGCCAATTTAAGCGAGATCATATAGGGATCCTGGCACCGACCTTCGTAATATGAGCTGCATTAGTTGTATGTATATTTGATCTTTCCGTTTTCTTTTCTGTTTAATTGTTAGTCAGTAAATGCATCTTTTTATTAAACGTTAACAAAGCTGGTTTTGACAGGTGTACTTTTTAAGCGAGGTCGTCGTTTAATTAGTAATGTAAATAAACGAGATATTTCTGTTTTGGGGCTGCCATAATTTTCTTCCGATCAGGCAACTTGAACTTCAGATAAGTATGCAAACTAACGAATGAACCTACATATCAAAGGAAGTTTTGAGAAATAGCGAAAACAATCATAATAATGATAATAAAAATAATATACATGTACAACATTGTATATAGCGCCCTATCTAGCGAACATAAGCCACTCTAACGCGCTTTACAGAACATATATATAAAATTAATACAATAAGCATATACATTAATCAATACAATTAACTTAACAGTAAACATGCAAGATGACTGCCTGGCGGCCATCTGGTTTTTCTGTTCCTTGTCAACATGATACATGTAGAGTAAGGACCAAGACAATGCTACTTGTACATTTAAATGTTTTGAAAGATCTGTTGTGTACATCATGAGAAACACCAATAATAAACATGAACTGTCAAAATCCAAGATGGCTTCCCGGTGGCCATCTCGTTTATCTTATCAGACGCAAAAAGGAAACATACTGACAATGGGCGAACCAGTTTTTGCCATTCCCCTAAATGCTGAACGTTAAGCCAATGTTTTGTGTTACCATAAAGGAGAGACTGATTGCTAATACACACATACCGAGTTCACGATCGTGTTTCAGGTACATAGTTGCATTAGGCACCACTTCAGCACAATAACCGTCAACGAAGGCCGTTATTTTTAATCCGTCTGGAGACCTGGTGAACGTGTCTTCTCCTGTCACACTTTGATAAGTTCGATAGTCCCAGGTAAGCTATAATTGTAATATAACATATTTATAATTGTGTATGGTATGATCTACTTTAAGCACTCCGATAGTTACCTATGCGGCCTCATCCCACAAACAAAAGCCTACAAATCCCGCCTTAAAAAACAAAATATCAACACCTACCATTAAATCAATCGTGTTGGTGCGTTGGGGGAAGATATTTGACTCGGATTGATGTTTGGTTCTATTGGATTTAAAGTAATATTAACAGCTGGGAAATAGTCCTAAATATTTATCGATATTTTCAGTTGCTAATCACAAGTGTTTAAACGGCTTTGAAATCGGAGGTCGCAAAAAAACATCACAAAAAGCGAATGAAGATTTGTCTAAAGCAATGGTGTACTTACGTCTCTGTCTACCACAAGACCGGTACCGTTCATGTTGATAACAAAGAACCCGGGAAGACTGCAATTATACCAGGGTTTCCGATCGTAGTTCCATGCGCACGCTACTCCCTCTCCAAATCCAGGAATAAACCTATCCGACTCCTGACATGTATCACTGAACGTGAAGTCTTCACGATCTACGGACAAGTCCTGATGTAAAAAAGAAATAAATGAAGCAATTCCACTTCTATAAGGATACAAGGATAAAACTTAAATGTCGTGTTCAAACCGATTATTTGAAAACAAATTTTCAGAGTATTTTTTTTTTATCTATTTTGGCATTTTACGTTCGGTGTTTCAACCGAGAACATGTCGTTTGTGAAGACCTTTTTATAACGAAATTTACAATGGAACTCCAATACTTCAATCATACTTCCCCGAGAGGAAGCCTGACTAACTATAATGTTATAGAGTAATAGAGTAGTCGCAGTGAATAGAAGTGCCGGGCCAAGAGCAAAGAATAGTCAGTGATTGTTTCCATTAACTCTCAAATCGGTGATGGCGAGCAGCAAAACAGTACCAAAACAAAGAACCGAAAAAAAGGGTTTACATTTCTTGTTTTATGTTATCACCTATCAATCCTACAAAATATTCCGAGCTTAAAAAAATGTAAAAATAGACATCAAACTAAACTTTAACAAATTACAGATTAAAATATCCAAAATCAGTGGTAACAAAATCGTCACATTATATTTTTTTGGTTTGCTTTGGGTTTAACGCCCCGACGGGTGCCAAGGGGGACACTGCCGGAAAGATACATTAAATAAGGAAAAAAGAAAGTTGAAAGGGGGAAGCAAATCCCAAGTGTTGCAGTGGCTGGTTGGTTTTAAAACATTTAAGGACATGCCTCATTGTGGGCAGTGTATGAGTTTATGTGTACACGCGTGACAGCGGCAAGATAAGCTGGTGATGCAGGGGGCAGCACTTTTCGAAGAAGACACGGAAGAAACGACCCAAGTCTACAGCGAGCCTCTCATTAGTCGCCTTTACACGTAACATTTAGTGTAATATAGTAGGTTTGTTCTTTAGAAAAGAACATAACAACCCTGATTCTGCAGGACAGCTCATTAGTCGCCTCATGCTGTGTGATAAAGTAGGCGCCATTTTTTATGGAGTTTTATTTACCCGAGAGTATACAAGATGTTTTTCGTAGTTGTTAAGTTATAAAATGTGTCGAGTGTTTGCTTAAAATAACTCCACCAGAAAAAAGTCCTTGTCAAAGGTTTGTCGCCTTCGCGACACAGCTGGTTTTTATTTCGTAAAATCAAAGTATTTATAATGATGGCATTGCCTATGCGCATTTGCGAGAATGCTGGTTAATTCGTAAACTTATTGATTTTCACAGACTGTTTGTGTTGTCATTGCCTCTTAATACAAGGTACCCATGGGCCTTAACGGCCACATTGATTGTAATATAATTGCCATTATATGCATGTATAGTTAAACAAAATACTGAGGATTTTTCTTGATAATGTTGAGGAGTGACCGATCAATATATATCACATGTAGCTGTCTGAACACAGGAGAACAATACAATATATAATAACTATTTAGCAAAGTGTACTCTTCCGGAGAAGAAATAAGTGCTTGGTTTGGTTTTATTTTGTTAAACGTCTTATTAACGGATGAGGTCATTCTTGCATGCACAAAAAACAAATCTCCGAATCCTGTAGGGGGCTTCCACATAAGTCAACGATACATTCAATGGAAACAGCTGGGCCGTTTTCGTTTGAACAGTTGAACCGGTTGGACCTCAGTTGTTCATTTAGTAAATAAGGTCGGACATAGTAATCTGATGCTGCTTTCAGGCGAGCCTTAACAAAGCCTTGCAAGGCCTGCGTGCACATTTGCAGGTTCGCAAAGATTGTCCTCGGGACAGAAGTTGTGAACCCATTGTCGCCTCACCTGGGCGAACGCTCAACATTCAAGCAAAACGTGAGGTGTTGCCAAGCAAGGCACTAGAATATAAAGGGTAGTTAAGAGTAGAAAGAAAGATAAAGATCCCAAATATTGCAATGGGCGCAGCAGATTTATTTTGAGAAAGATTAAATTGCAAATTTGATAAACCACCCACCTCGGGACCTTTCCTTCCATAATAAATAGTTAAAAATTATAATCTAGTTTGTCAGGGTATGAAGGAAGTAGTCGAAATTGTAGCTAATTTACCCTTTATTGTACCCCTTTAGTCCCGCCAGCCAGGCGCTAGATTTAACATATCGGGTCTTATTTTCATAAAATCAATTAGCAATCCTAAATGATAATAATACCTACCAAGTTTGAGTTATTTACGACTGAAAATACACATATTGTAACCAAAGATGTTATTTATATCACACTGTGTTTTCAGGGTCGGTCGTAAGAACAATGTTGTCATCGCGAGCATGTGGATAACATCGACAGGCACTACAGATGGACTCAATAAACTGTTTATCATCTATACACTATTACCTGATATTATATCGCAATTTAAAAATTTAACACTCGAGGCTTATTTATCATCGATCGCAAATCATCGGTCTGAGACAAACGCTAACAAATAGAGGATGAACCTTAAAACTATGTAGAATTTTAATTTTTTTAAATCACCTTATCGTCATTGGCTTTTTCATAGGCATATTTACGCTTAATAGTACTCTAATACTGACAAACCAAGGTAATGATGTGATCATGCTACCGGTTGGTGGTATAAACTTGTATAACATAATTGTTTTCCTATACTCAAATACTAAACTTTACCTCGTCTCAAGGGGTGATTGGTTGACCAACGGATAATGGAGTTCAGAATTATGACAAAGCACATTAGAACCTTTCCACCCCTGCAGATAATTTCATTTTAGTACATCTTGGTCTGTAGAAGAAGATTGTCGCAGCCAATTTGACCCCTGTTTGCCCCACCTCCATAGGGATTAACTCAAGGTCAGGTAGCGGAATGTGTTTACGAAAGACAATGGTTTGTCTTAGAATATCATTAAATTTCCGATTTTCAATAATATTTTACAATACTGACACGTACCCGAACAAATTGTAATCCTATCATTCATATAAAAATATATAATTATAATTAATGTAAAACATGCACATCGTGTATCTTGGAATTATCACTTAAGAAACTACATTACAAATCACAGAAGACAGTATAGTAATATCAAATTACCGTAAGGTTGACGCTGATTTTCCTGAAAGTTGCCGTTGCATCTCCTACACGATCTTTATATTCGCACACATTCACAATGTTTTTCCTCTTTGAATAATCATTCCTGGAATGATTTTCCTCAAACAATGTGATATACGCCTTAGAATCGTTTGTATCCATATCATGACAGTATACATGGATACTTTGACCACCAAGCACTCCTGGATACAGCTTGTATGTGCCGTCACCATAGCTACCATTGCATATCTGCACATCTGCACAATTCTCGGGATCTGGGCGGAAATAACATCGGATTAGTCATAGAAGTTGATATAACAAAACCGCTAATATCTAACGCTTTAAACGTTTCCTAGTGGTACAAATCCACCCCCACCCCTCCAACCAATGAATACAAATATTACCATGATCAATATAAAAACTATCTATAAGATTAGTGATAATTTCTTTACAAACTAACATAACTAAATACAAAAGGCTCAAGGAGTCACCTGATTTATAGTATGGGTACTGGTAGCTCAATTTCATTTTTGAGATGTGATTTGGAAATCAACATGTACACTAAGTTAAATACAATACTTGTCATCAAAGGATAAGAGTTTTAAAATATTGGCCCCTGGGGGATGGGACAGGAATCCCAATTTTACAATGTGATGCTCTCATCTACCTAAGTTATTTCTGACCAAGTTTGAATAATTTTCTGCTGAAAATGGATAAAATATACCCAAACGTGTTATTTACCTATATAAACTATAGTAATCTTTACCTCCTCCCCAAAGGAAGAACGGATGAGGTGCAGGTGGGAGATCAGGGGAAAAAAGAGTATCGTAGGAGGCGACTAATGTTTGAACCCACTGCTGAATTGGGGATTTGCTTTGGACACAAAAGCGACCAAATAATTCTGCTGCGCACGTTGGAATATTTATATATATCTTTTTGTCTACTTCTAACCAATTTTTACTACCTAGCGCCTTGCTTGGAAACATTTCACTTTTTGCTTGAATGTTGAGCGTTCGCCAAGGTGAGGGCGGCAATGGATTCTGTCCCCAGGCCTGGACATAACAAAAGTCCTTAAAAATGGTAGTTGTTATTCCCTGCTTAACGTTCAGCATTTAGGGGAATGGCAATAACTTGTCCACCCGTTATCATTATAATGTGACCGTGCGGAATGATGTGCTGGATGCCTTAGATATTAGGTATTTCAGTGGGATAGCACTTTGAAGTCGGCATCAGATCCGCGCTATCACAAGGAGGCAAGTACGCCAACATATCTTGTCTTTTGCATACTCACACGCAAGTACGCTTCCGCTACACACGTTGAGGCACGTCCTTAAATGACCTCGGCTGTTAATAGGCCGTTAAACAAATTAAACCAAGTCAAATACTGCTTCCGATCACATTATACCGCCCAAGTGTAAATCAGTCCTCACGGCTACCCATTTAAAATAGTTAGCAACAAGTATCAATATGACGAACTGCCTTGCTAGATAAACGCTCAACATCAAGACCAAAAATGAAGTGTTAGAAAAGGAAGAGGTTATGATTGGCAAAAGTTGATACAGATAAGGATATATCTAAAATGTAGTCCTTGTGTACTTATTTCTTATTCATTGACAGGTTCTGTTTAAATATACGCGAGCTTATTTTAATATTGGTTTTTGAATTTGTAAAATACCATTGTATTCACCGCTAATTTAACAGAAACGAGGAAACTAAAATGTACATGTGACATAATTCTAAAATATAATAATAACCATATAATAAGTGTTTTGCCTTACGTCTGCAAGACGGCTCCTGTGACCAAGTGCAATTCAGTTGGCACGTCACCTCAGTCTGAGTAGGTATCATGTGTGTTGGACAGATGTACAGGCGAACGGCCCCAATTTTCGTTGATCCAGGAGTCAGTGTCATACCCTTTATATTTGGTGGCTCTCCACAATCTGCAACTGAAAAAGGTACTGATTTGATCACTGCGATGTTATGATAGGATATGAACCCTATTACACTAAAACGAAAATAAAAATCATATCAGGAAACGTTTGTTTTGATATATTTTTTAGGAATAATCTAAATGCATTCATTAGGTTTGGTATCCATTGTCTATATTAAACTAACATTTAACTGTCTCTCAACTAAATACTACTCACGGGTAGCTTTTAGCGACCTCCTGGCTGTCTTCTTCATCCCTTACAGAGATCAGTAGGGGACTTTAGACTAATCTGGTGATTCAGTCATGTGACATGGGGACTATCCACAAGTCATGTGACTGGATCAGGTATCCATTGTCGTTTTATTTAATATCCTGCTTTTCTTGAAAAACTGTGAGATTTTTACAATAAATCCCTTGTTGCGTCATTGGACTAACAAATGAACGTTTGTATAAAGGAAGAGTGTGGCTAAACAATAAATGAATACATTTAAGCTTTTGAAAGACTCCTTTTTACTTCTGTCTTAGACTTGCACAAATTCTTGTAATACTTTGTCTGAAGCATATTTGCCATGCGATCGTATTTTGTGTACATTGTGCATCTACTGCATGCTACCCCCTCCTGCATAATTTGTAATTATTGTAACATGGACAATGTAATCAATT